TTTTCCACTTTGGCATAAATGGATTCCTTCACTCCTCTCTCAAACCACCTATCTTCTCTATCCAAAATGTGAACATTATTGTCCTCAAATGAGTGTCCTTTTTCTTTTAGATTAAGGTAAACTGCTGATTCTGTCCTGTGTTGTTGCTCCTCCTGTGCTGGGCCATCCTCTTGTGTAAAGGCTGTTTGGTTTCCTCAATGTAGAGCTCTGAACATTCTTCACTGCACTGAATTGCATATACTACATCGCTCTTATGTTTTGGTGTTTGATCTTTAAGGTGTACAAGCCTCTGTCTCAGTGTGTTAGTGGGTTTGAAAAACATAGGTATGTGGTCTTTTCCAAAAATCCGTTCTATCTTCTCTGACACCCCAGCCATGTAAGGAATGACAAGATTCTTCCTTTGACTCTGGTTCTCAACTCTGTGTGCTGTTCATGATTTGGACTCATGGCTTCTGCTTGAAGAGCAGGTGAGGCTGTGGCTAGATAGCTTTTGCCCAGCTTTGACTGATGCATCAAGTATAACCTTACCTAGTGCAGGAGGACTTGGCTACAGTAACTCACACCCTTGTTCCTTCCCAGATAGATTACTGCAATGTGTTTTACATGGGGCTGCCTTTAAACACTACTTGGAAACTACAACTCGTCCAAAATACAGCAACCTGTGTACTTAGTGGTTCCCAGCACTGGCAGCATATAACACTGATTCTGTGTGCCCTATATTGGTTGCTTGTTGGTTTCCGGGTACAATTTAAGGTGCTGGTGTAGACCTATAAAGCTCTGTACTTGCAGGACTGCCTCCTCCAACTGGAATCAAACCAGCCCATTAAATCCTGTACGAAAAAAAGCTGCTTATTGTCCCACATTTCTGAGAAGTAAGAGCATCTGAAGCTAGAAGACATTGCTTCTCTGTGGCAGTGCCGATTCTTTGGAACAGCCTCCCTATGGGGATCAGGCTAGCCCTCTCTCTGTTACTCCTCAGGGAAATGCTAAAGACAGGGCATTCTTGTAATTTAAGAACTGCATCTTATTTTATTCTTTTACTCCTTTTCTATTTTCCTTGTGGTTTCCATCAAGGGCTTTTATGACATTATTCTGTTTTTTAAGTGCACTGGGGATATTCTAATATCATACAAGCCACCAGTAATTGTTTGGTTTCAGTGGAATATAAGTGTAATAAATAAATTAGTGCCCAATGTTTAACAGTTGGGGGAGTGGACCGAGATCTGGAGGAGCCATATGATCAGGAGCTGACCTTGAGGAGCCAATAAGAGGGATGTGCAAAACAGTACTGATGACCAGAATTGAGACTTTTCTGCAAGGGAACTGTGGTTGAGCATCCTTGCCAGGGTGATGACTGTAAGAGTTGCACTGTGTTACATATGTACTATTGGGGTGTGTCTGTATTTACAGTTGAAAATGCATTCTCCCATAAGGAAGCTATTGGGATATATGAGGCTGAGCAAGCTTCCACACATCAAGATTCCAGCCCACTGAGTTCAGTAGTTAATGTTATGTAAAGTTATCTGAGTAGAATATGTAGTTCTATATGGTTACAGTTTTAATGCAAAGAGCAAAGTAGAGCTATTCACAGTGTTTTGGTTCTGAGTGCCAAACAATACAGTTGTTTGTTCATAGCTAGAAGTACATCTTGGGCCTTATTGCATCAGTGGAAAAGGAGAGTTTGTCCCTATGAGCCCCCTTATACTTGAGAAGTTTAGTAGCAGGCTTGATGAGAATAAAATCTGTAGGAGTTGGAACAGATTCTATTTAGCAAATCTTTGCAAGGGATTCAGCTGTCAAACCCAGGGCCAGCTTTTGCATTGCAGGAGCTACGATGAGTTACAGATGTGATGAACAATATGAGACTGCTACTGGAAATGGCAATCCCACATCTTTCCCTTTCCAGTGAGAACAAAAAACTTTTTGACTGGCAACCCACTTCCTTTGTGATATTAGTTTGCTTTTGTGATAAACTTTTTGGTGATCCTTAATCATTAAGGAAGATGTATTTCAAATATTTCATATCAGAACGCATAAGATTCTAAGCCATGGAGTGGATAGATGTCAGGAATGAAAAAAAAATGCTTCTTTTTGTTAGCTTTAAACACTTTTATCCTGCTTTCAAATGATTAACATGACTTAAAAACAGAAAGTTTCATATTAAAACAATCACAAAGCTTAATAAAAGCTGACTCTGCTGGGAGTATATACTCTTGAGATACCCTCCTCAGCCTCCTAGGAGCACCTCCTCCCCACTCTCCCATAACGAGACAGCATAGCAGTATTTGGGATTGACGGAGAGGGAGCTCCAGATTATCTGGTTTTCAAGTCCAAACAAGAAACATGGATTCATCTGAAAAGAATTTGATAACAGCAAAGCAAGTAATCAATGGTGTAATGCAATGTGTTTTTGTGGCTGTGGTCAAAATCCTGGCAGTCAGTCACATTCTGAAACAGAAGCTTCTAGACAGTCTCTAAGGACAAGCCAACATAACGTGCATTGAAAGAATCAAGCCTTGATGTAACCATTGTATAAATGATTGAGGCCAAATCTCTTTATTCTTGAAATTGCTCCATTAGCGTGTATGATAAGCTGACAGAAAACATTCTTGGCCTCTACCGTTATCTTGGACATTCAAGAACAAAGATGAGATGTACTGTAACTCCCTTAAACATTTTATATAAGATAGCAAAGTAAGAAAAAGCATAATGCACTGTTAACAATTTACATGAAATGTTATGTAAATTAATTTATTTAAAGCTAATGCTTAATTGTATATCATACATTTTTTTTGTATATTAGTGTACATAAATAACTGCAGAATTTTTATTGGCTCTTTAGAATATTTGTAAGATTATCTTATTCATAGAGGGAAACATGCTATTGGGGGCTCATGAAGTATTGGGAATGATCTCTGCTTTAAATTAAAGTGAATTCTTGTAAATTAGAACATTTAAAGCTTCCTCTCCCCCTTTTTGTTCTTTCCTAGTTGACAGGTTGTAAACAAATGTACTTGAAACATGACACAAGTCTTCATACTGATACCTTGGAAATATTATGACACTATGTTAGTCTACATATTTCTAGATTGGTCTGATCATTGGTGATTTGTCTGAGGATGGTTCTGAATATGTGAATATCTGCATATTAACTTTCAAGTAATGCAATGTTATCTTTCTTGCAACGCAACTAAATCGCTGCCAGAAATTATCTTCAGACTGGTATACTTGTTCCCTTTTTACTAAAGTTAAAGATGGTAACTTCTTATACAGCAAATATGGAACAATTCCACCCTTTTAAAAATGGTTTTCTTCATTACTTTCTTCTAGGTTGAAGATATTCTGTATTGTGCTGGGCAGATTGCATTAGTGCCCTGCACTATGCAACTTACAAGTGGTGGCATAGAAGCAGAAGCCCTGATGTCTTTAAACCATGTTGAAAGAGTCCTGAAAGCCATGAACCTGAAGGCGGAACTCCATCATGTACTTATGGCAAATTGTTACATAACTGACAGCAAGTTCATTTCTGTTGCTGAAGCTGTATGGCAGAGGAAGTTAGAAGAACTTAGAAAGGTATGTATAATATCAATGTTCTTTTTACTGCTTTCAGAACAACAGTTTCTAAAATGCATTTTTCCATGACTCAAAGTAAAATCAGAATATTCTCAGTCTGTTTTGCTGAGGTTCAAAACAATTGATAGAATAAGGTTTGATTCAGCTATTATGTTTGGGCTCCTACATGACTATGAACAACTACTGAAACATCAAACTGCCTAACAGAATGTTACATTCATCAGCAAGTTTCTCTTAATTTCATAAAGCAAAAGCTAAAGAAGTCTGAAAGAGCAACCAATTCCATGTGGACATTTTAAAAGAGTATTTAGTGTCTGAACTAAATGTGCATATATGCTTTTTCTTTTTTTACATTTCAGGAGGGTAGGTTAACTTTGCTTTTCACTGCATCAATTCTGCACTTAACTTTACAGATCTGTGGGGTTCATCTTTTGTGGGGTAACTTCCATTTTATTCTGAATCAATTACAAAGTAGCAAAGCTTACAATTATTTATAATATTAAGAAAGGGCGAAGAAGCACTCTGTATGCCATCTTGAGCATCTGAACAAGAAAGGTGGGATACAAATCTAATAAATACATAAAATTAAGATGATAATTATTAAGATTAAGTATGATATTCATAACACCTTTCAGGAGGAGCTATTCAGTCAATAGATTTTCGTGAATCACTTGAGTAACTAGAGCTATCCAAAATATTTTGAAATTGAACCTTTTTGAATTTGGAACACCCTTTCTCTCAGTCAGAAGAGCTCTTTCAAGTTCAAAATTTGCTGCTTGAGACACTTTCAAAATGATTAGTGTGGCCTCCTTTAAATGTGGAAGAGCTAAATAAAAACCAACAGAAATCATAGTTTGCAATCATATTGTTATACATAGCCCCATCATAACCAATCTTTCTCCTTCCCTTTTGTAATACCCTGTGCCCTTTCAAAAAGTTTCTGTGATGACCTGGGATATTGTGAAAGTAGGGTAAATAGAGTAGCTAAATTTAATAGTTACCCCGTGCTGTTCACTTATGAGTTAATAGACCAACTGGGCAATGTCAGGTATCTTTCAACAGTTGTCAGCCCCAAGATGTAGATCAGACCAAGAAATCAACTCCACATTAAGACTAAGGCTACTTTTATTAAGATTGCCTATAGTAATTGAATCTTGGAAGTCTGATTATGCTTTACCTCCTCCCTTTCTTATACTCATGTGAATTGGGGGGGGGGGTACCTGTCTGAAATGTTTGTGCATACCTTCTTCATTATTTGGGTTTAAGCAATGTTTCCATCCTTGTTGCTTTGGTAACCAATCTCCTCTCTCTCTGTCCAAGTCATCCTCTTTACTCTCTACAGCATGTGATTTGACCAAAGGTTATTGACAGATTCCATTAGAAAATTAATCCAGAGGGGGGTGGGGGAAAAACACATTTACTACCCCTCAGAGTTAGGGTCTTTATCAATCTACAAAAATGATGCATGGGGCATCAGCAGCCTTCCAAAGGCTTATGAATAGGATCGAGGTAGTTGGTGCAAAGTGTATTTAGATGACATAGTCATATAACTCAACAGCTGGGAGGAACATTTACAACATTTAGAGAAAGTCATAACATGATTAAAAGAAGCAGGTCTGACTACAGCTCAGAAGAATACCAATTAGACTTTACAGAGGTTAGCTATTTAGGATACACAGTAGGAAATAGGAAGATAAAGCCAAACATAGAAAAGTTAGCAGCCCTAGAGAAAATAGACTGACCTAAAACCAAAAAGCAAGTCACATCATTTTTAGGTTTGGTATGCTGTTATTTATGTCAGTCAGTCATTTATGTTCATCTCCCATTTCACTCAAGCTCTTACATACCTTACATGGAAGACAGAACCCAATAAGGTACATTGAACTCCTCTATGTGAACAAATGTTTGGGGACTTGAAGAAAGCATTGTGCAGCAAACCTATCCTACACAGAGTTGACTTTGATTGACCATTCATGTTACGCATAGATGCATCTCATGTGGAACTAGGAGCAACCCTAAGACATGCCTATGATTATCCTGCCCTGTACTTGGCCAAGAAACTGGCACCATAAAAGCAAGCATGCAGTGCTTTTGAAAAAAGAGGCCTTGGCACTATAAGGAGCTATTGAAATGCTTAAAGTTTATCTATGGGGATGAACCTTCTAAGTCATTACTGACATCAGCCACTCACTTGGATCCACCAAATGAAGCATAATAACCCAATATGGTACCTTGTGTTACAACCATACAGGTTTAACATTCAACATCAAGCTGGAAAGCAAAATATGCTGGTGGATTTTTATCATGGTTTGGAGTGAGTACAGAACCTCAGCACCCTTGTCAAACAAGGACAAAAGGTTGGAAGGTATAGGGAGCCTCAATAAAAGAGGGACAGAGTATGGTGTGGAAAGGAAAAACTTGAAACTGCTAGTGTGACTTTTCCTTTCTTATGGTTTTGTGTCTTCTGGGACTTTTAAGAGAGTAGAGGACCACACCTGTACTGCAGAGAGATAAAAGAGAAATGCTGGAGGCACAATGTGTCAGTGGAAGAGGGAAAGGGAGTTGAGTAGAGTAGTGTAGCTGACAGAGAAGCTAGTAATGCATGGAAGAGGTGAAATTGAATCTAAACATTTTGGTTGAATGAACAATGAGGCTCTGAAGCTGCCACAGCTGAAGTGAGAAGTAACAACCTCAAGCCTTCCAGAGATGAAGACCAGCTGCAACCAGCCAGCAGCGAGTAATTGTTCCCCCTCCCTTCTACAAACTGAAAAGGACTGAGAGAATGAGAAGCAACTTGATAAAAGGAAACAACTACTAGGCTACTCCAACCTACAAGCAGGACTTACTGAAGAATGGGGAGCTGGGGGATGGAAACAAAGATGGAGCCAAGTACAGTAGAAGCTAAAAAAACATTAAACTTTGGTAAAAAGAATAGGATTCTCAATCCCTACAAGAGTGGGCTAGAGAAAGAACTGTGCTACTAGGTGGCAATTAAGAACACAGGGAAATTTGTAACCTTGTTCAGCATTGTAAATATTATTCTTGTCACTTACTAACCACAGATAGGTAGATTAGTGCGTATATAATAGGCTCAATACACTAGGACTGTATAAACCTATCTCTTGTAAATATAAGAGGAGATGAATTCAGCATCCTGGTCTGTGATTTGTACCATACCTTAAGCATAACCCTGCCACAGAAACATATATTTCTCTTAAAATATGTGTGCCATTTGGTATGACGAATTATTGCCCAAAATTTAGGAAAAGAACCTTGTGTCATCACCTGATTTGGGGTCATTCTCTTCTGCCACTAAAGACCTATGATAATGTTGGTATCATGCAAGAGGATCTCCTTGTATAGAAGCTTTGCAAGGAAAGGAGGAAAAGAGAAATGAAGGAAGTTGAGGGTAACCAACATTGCTTTTATTCTTTTGAAAAGACTGGGGAATCTGTTTAATAATGATCAATAACAATCACATTTACTGAGAAAAGAATCACTTCCAAAGGCTGACTTATGTAATTATTGCAGAACGTAAGACTGAAGGGAAATTTCTGCCCATTTAGTTTGTCAAAACTTCTACATTTATTGTTTTAAGTCAATACAAACATAAAAGACATTGACATCTATCCACTGTCTGAGGAAGGAAAATTCAGGTGCTTTGGATGTTGCCAACACGTCAAGTCGAACTTGTATTGTCTAGAGATGTTTTAATTGAATATAGTGCCATTTAGCAGATTTAGACAAATCAAATTCTTTCTGAGTCACCACAGAGATTTAAGAAGACTGCTTAGGAATAAGCTGATCTAAAGTTAATTCATTATTTCATGAGAAATAATTCCATTGGTGATAACCTTGTCTGATAGGTTAGAATATCACATTTTTATCCAATTAATAAAAATTATAGAAAAACTATGTTTAGTCAAGATATCTCATAAAAATTTAAACAACAGCATACTCAAGGCCTTCTCTGTATCTAGCTGTACCACCACTGCTAAACCCAGTTCATCTGATTGTATATTTAATATATCAAATAATCTAATATTGCATGATACTTGGAGCTGCTTGATAAACTCAAATTGTACAGGATGTACTATTGAAGATGACATTTTAAAGTGTTTGTGCTGAGGCCAGTATCAAAAGTTTAATATCATTTAACAATGAGATCAGAGAAGCTTCCGGGGGAAGTACGGCAAACTGAAGATGGCTCTGCAAAAGCAGCGCTAACGACCATGACAAAGATCAAAGAACCGGTGAATAGACCAGTTGCTTGGAATCTCTCCAGATAAGGAGAGGACAGGGTATTGCCCACATGTGCTCTGGATGACTGCTTCTTGCAAGGAGACCACAGGACAGTGGTTTTCCACAGGTTTGAGTGCCTGGAACAACGAGATCAGCCATCTTGCTCACAACCCTAGCAGAGCCTTTTAAAGAACACTAAGTTCACAAACCTCACTTTCTAATCACTTTCAGAAATTGCCTATTGACTATTCTAAAGCTATTAGAGACCTTTGGAATGACAGGTTTGAAAAGTCTTCATCGGATGAGTTTATCTTCAACTCTGAACAAAAGAAAAATTGATTACAAGCTTAAGAACTTAAAGAATTTGAAATAAACAGCAAAAAGCTAAGTAAGATTTTGATATAAGAAAGTTATAAACAGATTAAGGGTCCAGATAAATTTGGAATATTGACTCTTACTATAAGATTTTGGAATTAACTATAAAAAATAAACAACTTTTCATGGAAAACAGACTTATTTTGGTTGTTCTGGCAATTGCACGTCATAACAAAAGGTAAGTGATGATTTTAGAAACTAGACACTAGAGGGAACTAAAGATTTTAAGAGAAGAAAAAAAAATACAACCCTAATGTCAATTAATACCGGAACTTACAAAATGATATAAAATGTTATAACATCAGAAATATTAAAGGAGATCTTTGAAGAATGAAGCCAGAAGTTAACTACAATATCAGCACTGTCAGTAATGATGTCTGCTT